AAACTATCTCAAGAAATTGGCAAACAAAAAAGCCCGGCGTCGAGATTTGTCAAGACGCCAACGGGTCAGGACATATGGGATATGAGGGAGCAGGGCTACGCCTGGCCTTCATCTCTGCCTTCCCCAGAGGCTGAGGACGCTGGCTGCGACGGGCACAGGCGATGCAGCCAGCATGAGCTCAGTTCAGCAGCCCTGGACTAAAGCTGTGCGCCGCGGCAGCGCCGACTTCGGCGGCAGCTGGAAGGACAAGCTCACCAACGATGCACACAGTCGGGCGCGTGTGCTCAGCGTGTCGCGGCGGCGGCCCGGGCGACACGCGATGCCTTGCAAGCGGACAGCGTGTCGCTCTGCTCCGCGGGGCGCGAGGCTCCGAACGGCTCGGGGCGCTGTCCGCGTGCCGCGCGCCGAGGCGCAGCGGGTCGGGGCAGGCCGAGCGGCACGCGCAGCCAGGCGTCCAGACCGCGTGCGGAGCCGTGTCCGACGCGGGGAAAAAGCGGCCGCCGCACAGCACCCGCGACGCCTCTTTCGGGCCCCCCTCGCGGGGAGAGGGCTGCCGCCGGCGGCCGGCGGCAGCACGAGAGGCCAGCACGCTCTCGGGACCTGTCGGGCCGCGCCGCCGCTGGGCGCCGAGGCGGGTCGCGACTGCTGCTGTTGCTCGGCTGGCGCTGCGCCCACGGATCTGCTTCCGATGTCCCTGGGCATCTTTTGATCTACTCCGATGTGATCTCAGGAGGTCTTGAGTGTTGTGTCCCTCGCCCCTGTAAATTTCGGTGGGGAACAAACTCGCCCCTCCTCCTCCTCCTCCTCCTCCTCCCGTAGTCGTCGTAGTCGTCCCGGCGGACTTGTTTCCCTCTATTGTTGGGCGGGCTGGATCATGATAGGGGTTTCTTTCTCCAAGGGAATGTCCCGTTGTGGGTTGTCCTACGCGCGAGAGGATTGGTGAGCATTTTCTCGTTGAGGATGGCAATCATGATCAGTGGTTGTGCTTGTTGTCGTAATTGTGGCCGTGATTTTACTCGCGATTGTAGTCGTAGTCGTCGTCGTCGTCGTCGTCGTCGCGGCGGAGATTCCCACTAATGTTCGCCGCGCTAGACAATGTTGGGTGGATTCTTTCTCCCAGCGAATAAATGATATCTGGGCTACCTTGCACGACAGAGGAATTATGAGCACGTTTGAACGAGTATTGCAATATAGATCGACACATGATTTGCGGAAGGCGTTGCTCACAATCTACTACTCGTAGTCGTAGGCGTAACCGTAGCCACAAGCGTAGTCGTAGTCGTAATCGTGGTCGTCGTCGTCGTAATCGTCGCTGTCGTCGTCGATGTTGTGCGGTGGGTGCCGCGAAGAAATAAATATGTTCCACTATTGGTGGGGCCCCAGTTCGTCAATGAGAGCGTCGAAACGAGACCTTCCACGATTGGGAGGTTCTAAAGGACCTATGAAGGTCATCCAGACGTGCAACGATTCATATCGCTGGACATCATCGATCTGGTTTGCTCGATTCCCGCCAGTCGTCTGAAGAACAATCGTCAAGGCGGACGAAAGGGGGGGAAACGACATGGCAGGACGGAAGTGGGTCCTGAGGGAAGCGGCTCCTGAACCAGGACGGAGTGATGGCAAACGATTGGCGGGGGACCAGCTCAGGGGGACGAACATCGAGCTCCCATCGGCGATACATCGCCGAAGGATTACTGTTGGGCCCCCGATGGCGGAACCGCGCGTTCGTGGGCGGGGGTGGGTTTCAGGCTCCTATCGGTGATGGGTGGGCGCTTGGGGGTCGATGCGCGCCCCGCTGAGCCAATCACCCCCTTGTCTTATGCTGCCCCCATCGTACTTAAGGACCATATCCCCCAAACATAAGCTTCGTGCACCCCAAAATGTATCGAATCAATGTCGAACGAGTATCGCCCTCCCAGGGCCCGAGACGTGAAGACCCTCCAGTCTCGGTGCTTCCGTAGTGCTCGAAAGTCTCTCTGGTGATCAAGGCCAAAACAGGTTGGAACATCATAACCCTTGTCGCTTTCCCATGACGAAGCCAAAATGATGACAAATCATGATGGGCGTACACCAGGGGAAACCGGCAGGCTGGTAGGCCTCCATGGGGAGATCCGTCGACCCTGTCGGCGTGTGGGCTGTTCTGATTGACCCGTCGTCGTGGTCGCCGTCGTCGTCGTCGTCGTCGCCGTCGTCGTCGTCGTCGTCGTCGTCGTCGTCGTCGTCGTCGTCGTCGTCGTCGTCAGCGGCGGCGTCGGCGTCGGCGTCGGCGGGTCTGGAGGGTGCACCGGGCGCCGCGGCCGTCCCAGGGCGTTTCGGAACGCTCGGGGAGCCCCCGGGCACGCTCCAGAGCGATCCGCCTCCGTCCTAAAACCTCCCTGATGGACCCCGGACGATCTCCCAAGAACTCCGACGTCGTGATTTTGTCACCGCGCTCGAGTAGGGGATTGACTCCAGAACTGATGTACCCTCAAAATGTGCATGCTCGCCGAAGGTGTAAAAACCATGGGATGTTCGAAGACCACGAACTGTCTACGGACAAATCCCCTGCTCGAGCCATAGAAGTTAGTATTGCAAGTACAACGGACATTCCCGCGTGTGCTCCAATCATAGCAGACTCGACAGACAAATCCCCTGCTCGAAACGCGACCCCTGTGCACGAACGCTTCGAGGGACTTCGCAGTCATCTTGTCGAGATCCACGTCGAGCCCTTGAGGATCCACCCTCTCCGTGAAAGACCTGGTTTTCCACCCAAGACGCCTCAGAGTCTGCGCGTCTGCTCCTCCAGGGCCATTGACAGCAACCCACCCCGGACTCACCGCACAGACCCCTACTTCGAAGATGGCCTTCGTGATGTCCTTGGGGGTCCCCGCCGTCGCGGTGCGCCTGGAACCGCGTCGCGAGGGGGAGTGTTCACAACAAAGGACGGGTCGAGGTCTGGCAGGTCCTGCAGGAGGTACTGCGCTGCCCTGGACCTGCCCTTAGCTCTGCCAAACATGGCGAAGCTAACAACAGCAAGTTAGAGCGGTCCGAGTCGCTCATTCCTGCGACTCTGACGCCGTAGGTAGCCGACGCCAAGCCTCCAGCGCGGAAAACTCTGGAGAGCCTAGCTTTGTGGTGGCGCAGCGCTCGGGACCTGTGGGTCCTCCTCCTGAGATTCTGGACGCGACCCTTCAGAACTCCCCTACATTTTCCTGATCTGCTGGCTGACATCGTGCCCCAGGTTCTTCACGTTCGAGCACACCTTTAAGTTAAAAGACTTGAGTTTGGCACCTACGCCGTCCGCCGACGCGCTGGACGACGCGACGACCTGGCACTTCTTCCTGGGCGCTACCATCTCCATCCTCTGGAGATGTTTGCAGAGCTGCGGGGGTGCCGTCGATGACGAATATTGCGCGAATGTGCGCGACCCTATGGCTGATGCCGCGACGTCGTTGACCATGGTGCACAACGACAACGACGCCCAACGAAATATCATGCACACTAGCGAGTCATGCAACGCAACCCGTAACGTGGTCGTAGCGAACGAACAACCTGCGATGATCGAACGCGCCAGCGCGATGACCTCCGATGCCAGCTCCCGTATCTTGATCATCCTCGGCCCTCCGCATGCTCGAGTCAGCAAGCGCGCTCTGCGCATAGGAAAGTGGTGTTTCTGCCAGGCGGCCCACATAGCATGGTGGGTAATATTCTCGCGCGCTTTCTCCAAATCGATCAAACCCGAAGCCGAACTTGCGCCGATGGACTTTGCCGCCTCTGCCCGGGCCGCCTGCTGCCAAACTGACTGCTCGCAGCCCTTCCCCTTGGAACCGCGCGCGCAGTCCAAGTGGTTCTCTCGCTCCCACTGCTTGGCCTGGCTGTGTCTGATGCTACCGAGCAGTGTGGCGCGCGTCGACAGGGCGCCGATCGGCCGATGGCCGCCCTCGGGCTTCTTCACACAAGCATCCGGCGCCAGGTCGCACTGCCCAGGGAGAACTAGAAAGAGCCCCACAACCGACGAAAACTCAGCGCGCGCGGCCAGGCCGGCATCGCTGAGCAACTTGAAGCTCGCCCGATTCTAACCGTCGGTGCCGACAGCCGCGTTCTTCTTGAACTTCTCCAGGGCCTTTCGAACCTCCGACGAGGTGGGCGCCGAAGGGGGTCTCCAAGCGGGGCGTCGAGATCTCGGGCCCCCCGACCTAGACGGCGCCCTTCGTGCCAGACCTGCCCCCGCTCCTCCACGAGGGCCTCCGCGGCGCCCGCGGGCCCCGCGGGGGCCCCAACCCAGACGGGCCCCATCGGGTGCCCAACCCTAGGGTTCCATGGTCCGCCTGAACAAGCCTCCTCCTCCTTGCTTGAGATTTAGTGAAGCCCACTGCCTCCACTGCCTGCCGAGCATCCTTGGCCTTCGCACTTGAGTCCTCGGCAACAGAAATTGGCCCGCGCGGCCGCCGGCGCATCCTGCAACTCCTCGCGGGAGATGTCGGCGTGCAACTGGAAGCTCTCCTTAAACCTCTTCCACTCGGGAATAACCTCTAGAACCTCGATCGGAGCTGAGAGTTCCCGAATCAGGTCCTGGACCCCTTCGATGCTCGCGGATGTTCTCCAGTTATCACTTCTCCTGAGAGGTCATGATACTATGAAACTGTTAAATTCACGCCGCACCTTCTCTGCTCGACAAGCTGGCTTCCCCGACTTGACCACCGCGGTTTGAAGTTTCCCCGAGACTGGCATCTTCTGGACCTCCGACGGAACATCAGTGGAATCTGCAGCAATAAAGAAGCGCCTCTGGGCGTTGAAGAGAAACTCCCCGAGCTGGTTAAGCAACTGTTTACCTTCGGCACCATGCCCCCCCCCCCCCCCCCCATCGCCGCCAAGCAAATAAAGACTGCGCAGATAGAAACCACCGCGTACGCACCCGTTCGCCCGCGCGACGGTAGCACGAGCATGATGTAGATGATGTGCGTCTCCCAGAACTTTACTGGCTCTCATGCGCTACTCGACTGCGACGCTTATTCCTGCTG